TCTGGAACCAACTTCCAAGAGAAGTGGTGCTGGCCCCTACCCTGGGGGTCTTTAAGAGGAGGTTAGATGAACACCTTGCTGGGGTCGTTTGACCCCAGTAATCTTTCCTGCCATGGCAGGGGGTTGGACTAGATGATCTACTCAGGTCCCTTCTGACCCTAGAAACTATGAAACTTTTAATAACTAGTATATTTGTTAAATGTAATGTAAAATATGCTATTCCTTGAGATATTTTCATACTAAATTCAGAGGGTTTTTTTCCCCTTTTGTTACTATCTCCTTAAACCATCCATGTAACACAGAATTTGAATTAAATACTGAAGTTAGAAGGGAAACTGGAAATTCGGGCAGCTTGACAGAGGAGCAGGTAAGGTCCTGATGTGCAGAAATGGTTCTGAATTATAGGGTAAGTCATATTTGAAAACACATTCTAGCATATTTGTAAATATTCCCTAACTCTAATGAATGCCACATTTGAGGCCTGAAGCCTCTCAAAGCCTCTGACTCTTAATAGTCATGTTGGCTAGTATAGATGCAACAAATGCCAGCTGAAGGAGTGCTTTTTGTCAGCATACCTATATCCTTTCCCCAAATGATACAAGCTCAAAGACACTCTTCTGTCAACACAGCTGCATCCATGCTGGAGGTTTTGCCAGTAAAACTCATCTAGGGATTGCAGTATTTGTACCATGGTGGGAGCAGTGAAGTACCCATTTTGCTAAATAAATATAAAATCCTTTCCTAAACCAGTCTTTAGCTGAAAATCTACAGTGCCACTATTTAAAAAGTTGTTTGGTCTAGTTGCATCTTTCAAAGAGACACCTTTCAAAGGGTTGGCAAAGGGTGAGTACGTTTGGTGAAGGGAGATGCAAAGCTTCTGGAAGAATTTTTTCATACTTGAAACATTTGAAGAGTCTTTATAGATTGTTAAACTCCATATGCTCATTTCTGTGAACACTACTTGTCATCATGTTTACACAGGAAGAACTTTTTTTTGTTTTACATTTGGAAATACAAACAGCTACATACCAATTTTTATGACATGTACCCCCTCCCCTGTTTTGCATAAGTGAGACACTGCATCTAGGAAAGCAGCCTGAATTTTCAGGGATAGCTTAGATCACCACTCAAGCAGCTTCTGTCCCATTCCAGTGCTTTTCTCTTCCATGAGGTTATTTTCTCATTGGTTATGTTTCTTAAGTGTGAGTAGCTGTCTCTTCAGTTTTCTTTGGAGGTAGATATTGTCCTTCTTGAAGCTGTTCTTTGTATTTTAAATAGTCTCTTCTCTTGTCAAAATATTTAACCTGTTTTAAAACAAGAACACATTTACGTTTATCAAAGTACACTGCAGAAAAAAGATCCAATATGAAAAAATGTATTCACACACAAGACAGGACTGAGAGAAAACACAGACTCTCTCAGAGACAGGACTGGGTCAGACCACAGGTCCATCTAGCCCAGTAATCTGTCACGCAGTGGCAGAGTGGATGCTGAAAGGGACAGCGGAAGAAACATGGTGTGACCATGGCTTTTTCCACTGTTTCTCTTGCACTTAGCCTCTGAATCAACTTCCTGGAAGCTTTGTCTCCCCAACTCCCCTGCTTAACAGCTAGTGATGCCCCTTTCCTCCAAGAATGTGTCCAATCCCTGTCTGAATTTGGCTACACTGTCAGCTTCTACCACAGCTGGTAGCAAGGAGTTCCACCCCTTAGTTACACCCTATGTGAAAAAGAACTTCCTTCTGTTAGTTTTAAACTTACAAAATGTAATGTTACAACTGTTAAGTGCTGGTGTGAATGGAAGTTGTTACAATGGCACAAGCCACTCAGTTTTCCTACTGCTCCATAGTGTACCAGGGCTTTTACCAGACCTCCCAGGATCTACTGGTACCCAGGGCGTGTCTATGGCATAAGGCACAGCCATCAGAAATTAACACCACCAATGCGGATATATGGCAAATCTGCAGTGGCTCTGAACAGGCCAGCCTGGCTTGTGTGGACACACTACACTGTTTCCTTGAACTTACTCCAATCTACAAGCTCAACTAGGAATTGTCCCCCAGCAGAGGCACTGCCTGGCAGACTATAATTCCCATGTTATCAGAACCAGGCAATGCTCCTTACACCTGCTAACACAATGCAACCAAGAACTGGTGGGGAGGCTCTCTTTAGGCTAGAGTTATTTTTAATCTACAGCTGTCTTCAGTGACCTGTTTAAAATGGAGAGTTAAAATGAAAATTGAGAGTAATGTTGGGCTGGGAAAAATCAAGCGGAAGGTAGGACACAGTAATGGTTATGCTGCAGTCCCCTTGTAGCAGGTTAGGAGCCTTACGGCTTGTGGACAGTTGTTTCAGGAAGAGGCGAGATGGTGCTCTGGAAGCAGCCCCAGGCACGGGGGTGCACGAGATGCCTCTGGAGGTCCCTTCCAGCCGCTTCCGCTGTTGATGTCCAGCTCCTGCCCCGGTGCCCGCCCTCTCACTGGGGGCCACTCGGGCGCAAATCGGGAAGGGCGCTCCCAGGCAGCCGGGCCCGGACACCACCTCTCCCGACAGCCGGGCCGCAGCCACTCACCCACTGCTGCGGGCAGCGGGCCTCGAAGGTCAGCCGGATCTGGCGACACTCGGCGGCGTCCTCCGCGTGCTCGTCCAGGCACTTCCAGTACTGGTCCCGGGCGCCCCAGCACGCCTGCCGCTCCTCCATGGACGGCGCCGACATGGTCCGGGGCCTCGGGCCCTCCTGACCTTGAGCGCCCGGCCCAGCCACCAGCACGAGCCTCCCCCGGAGCAGCACGTGGGGGGGCGCCGCTCCCCCCACCGGTGTTCGCGCTATAGCGCCTGCGCACTCAGGATGGGGGGGCGCGCTTTTTCCCCCCACCAAGCGCAGGCGCAGTTGCTGCCTCCCCCGGCGAGAGTGCGCACGCGTGCGTGCGTATGGTGGAAGTACAACGCTGCCTGTGATTGGCCGTGACGTGACTGAGGGTGAGAGGTACGGGGCGGGGCTGTCGGCTCTCCGGGGGGCGGGGGGAGTTGGGTGACGTTGGTGACGTACTGAGGCGGGGCGCCTGGGTTGGGCTCGTTGCAAGCCGGCTCTCACGAGAGGCCCAGGGGTTGTTGCCCCTGGCCGTGGGCTTTCCCGGCTCTTCCCTTTGGAGTGAAAAAGAAAAGCCTGTGTTCCCCCCC